GGCCCGCGCGTGCCCGCCTGCGCACGCGATCGCACACGCGCACGAGCGCTCGGGCGCGACGCCGAGTTGCTTTTCCGCAGCTCCGGGCCGAGGGAGGAGGGGAACGCGGCCCCCGCCGCCCCTCCCCCACGCTGCCCTGGGAGTCGCGTTTCAGGATTAAATTATAACCCGGGAGTGGCCGCGGGGGCGCGAGGAGGCCACCCACGGAGCCCATCGGGGACGCACGCGGACCGCTGGCAGCCGGGGGTCCGGCCCAGCGGAGTACAGGTCTCCCCCCACGCGAGTGCTCGCGGGGCGGGGGCCCGAGTGCGGGTGGGGGCGGTGTCTGACCTTGGGCCCTGCCCCGGCGGTCACAGTGGGCTCAGGAGTGTGGCATGCAGGGACACCCACTCGGGGACACTTGCACGGGCGCAGCCGCAGGTGCTGGTCACACGCGCACACCCAGGGTCGCGCGTGGGGCGCCCGGCCCGCAGGCGGGCTCGGCAGGACAGCTGTGTGCCCACCCCGCCCCAAGTCCAAGTCTGCCCCCTCCGGCCAGGAGTCGGTCCAGGCCGCGGAGTCCCGGGGAGCCCCAGCCTGCGGCGTCGTTCTCCCCCACCTTCCCCTAGATGTTGGAGTTTGAATTTTTTTTTTCAGTTCAACTTTCCTTTTTTGGAGTGACGTCTCAGCAGATTCGCTTCTACCATCTGGCAACATCTGAGAACCCCCAGGGAGAGAGGGGAGCGGCGGCTGCGGCGGAGAGGCTGCTGCGGCTTCCAGGGACACCCCCCGCCCCGCGCGTCCGCCCCTCCAAGGAGCGGTGCCGGGCCTTCTGCAGCCTGGGCCCCTCTGCACCCCTCAGGCCTTGAGTTGGGAGTATTTGGGGGCCCCCTATGGAAAGGGAAGTGTATGAGGGGTGCAGTTTGGAACTGGAGGGATCATAGGTCAGGGGCCCCCTCTCTTCCGGCCCCATCCGCCCGCCCCCTGGCGCCCACCCAGACTGCGTGGGAACCCCCATGGACAGGCCAAGCCTGAGGGAGGCCCCTGGCTCCCTCCCCGGGCCCTGGGGTGGGAGTGGACCGAGCCCTCACCAGCCTCCCGAAGCTGCTCTCTGGAGTCACCTGAAATCACCCCTGGATTTGCATCTCCGTGAGACCTGCTCTGGGGTGGTGCAGGAGGAACCGCCGGGGCTCTTTCCTGTGCAAGGCTGTTGCCTTCCACGGCCCAGGGAACAGTACCCATGCTCTGAGCCTGTGTTACAGACAGAGAAACTGAGGCGCGGGAGATTAAGAACCTAAGCCCTGCAGCTGACCCGGGCAGCTGGTGCTCCGGCCTGGGTGTCCCAGCCTTGACTCAAGGAGGAGCAGGAAGCCCTGCAGCATCCCCCCACTCGCTCCCAGGGCCACGCTTTCTGCAGCCCCGCACCCCCTTGAGCAACTCGAGCCCCCAGCAGCTTGGAACAACTGCCAGAGAGCACCGTGCCCCTCCCAGGAACCCGGACTGCAGTTGCCGGTAATAAATAATCACTGACAGCGATTCCAGGACGTGTCACGATCAGCCTCTACCCGGGAAAGACTCCCAGCACACCCGTTTTGCAGGTGGGGAGGCTGAGGCTGGTGCTGGGAAGCCACCCATCGATATGGGCGGCAAACAGAAAATGCTGCAGGCCAGATGAGGTCGAGAGAAGGGGTGTTGCATGCCTCCCAGTGTTCCAGCCTGACTGCTTCTAATTATTCAACCCCTCCTTCTGGAGAACTTGGACAGCTAGTCAAGTTCATCCCTGCCACGGGACCTTTGCACAGGCTGTTCCTCCCCCCCAGCCCAGCAGTTGTCCCTCTTCAGGTTCACAATGTCACCTCCATAGAAAGTCCCTCACTGGCTGGGCATACTGACACACTCCTGTAATCCCAGCACTTGGAAGGCTGAGGCAGGAGGATCACCATGAGTTCCAGTCCAGCCGGAGCTCATAGTGAGTTCAAGACCGGCCTGAACTACATAGTGAGACCCTGTCTCAAAAAAAAAAAAGAAAGAAAAGACAATCCTCACTGATCCTGCAGTGCTCACTAATCCACTAATCCACTACTGGACTCCTTCCCTTCACCCTTTCTCCCCAGCTGTAGTTCATGTGGGCATTTATTTGCCACTTAGACACCACCTTTTGTGTCTAGACTGTCAGCTCCAGCTCACTTCTGTATCCCCAGCACATAGTAGGCACTCAGTTAATTAAAATGTGTGAGTTTGAGCAAACGAATGCAGACCTGCGCTGGCGGCAGTGTGCTGCAGCGGGCCTGGGGGGACGCTGGCAGTCAGGCGTGGCCCAGGAGATGCAGGAGCAAGCGTGACCCCCATACCCCCTGCCTTTAGCACTTACACCTTGGCACGCTCAGGGTGTGGTCTTCACCTGCCCGTGGTCCTCATTTCCAGCTAGGTAAAGGCCCTGGCACCAGCCTCAGCCCCAGGAGAAACCCAGCAGACTGATCTGGTTCTCCAAACAGCCGTGGCCTCAGCTCACACTTCCCGCCCCAAAAGGCCCGCCAGGCAGCGTGGAGAAGCAGGAGCAGCTGGGCTCACGCCCAGGCAGGCTTCCCAGCAGCCCCCGGGGCACAGGCTGGGCCTCCGAGCCCATGCAAAGGGCCTGTGTCCACCATTGCCTCACATGGGCCCCAGAACTGTGCGCAGAAAAATTGCAGGGCCTTTCCTCACCCTGGGGACCTGCTTCCAAAGGAGCTGGGAACTGGAAGCCCCCAGGCATGGCTGGGAAAGGCGGCTGCCACTAGGGAAGGGTGAGTGACAGACATAGATGGTGCTTGGGACACACCCTACACCTGTCCCAAGGCAGTCTGTCACCCTTCTTGAGAAGGCAAGTTTAAACCAGGCAGAGTGATGCACACCTGTAATCCCAGCACTTGGGAGGCTGAGACAGAAGGATCACTGCAAGTTCCAGGCCAACCTGGGCTCCATAGTGTATGCAAGCCCAGGCTGAACTACATAGCGAGACCGTGTCTCAAACAAACAAAAAGGCAAATTCAGTGGCACATGCCTGGAATCCCAGCACTCAGGAGGCTGAGGCAGGAGCATCACCCTGAGTTCGAGGCCAGCATGAACTACACTGAGAATTCAATTCAGCCTGAATTCAGCCTGAACTTACACAGTAAGACCCTGACCTAAAAGCCTAAATAAATAAAGGCTGAGTCCACTGGCTCAGAGGAGGAGACCCAGGCTCCTGCGTGCATGCTGTTGCCGGGGCTGTGACCCCTGGAAAAGGCTCCACCCACAGTGAGGATAGTAAGAGAGAGGGGACCAGCATATCAGAGTGCACCAGCCTGAGCGCCTCTGCTCCCCACATCTGTCAGTCACTTGACAAACACAGGCAGGTCAGCCCGGGCCCAGCCCTGGCCCTGCCCTCTGGCCAGGGAGAAGAGGGGACATGGCTGCACTGGCCGATACCTGTCCACCTCTGGGCCAGCAATCCGATTCCCCAGGCTCCCTCGCCTTGGGGGTTCTCTAAGGCTCCTGGTGGACCGGGACCAACTGAGCCCGCAGCTGGGGGCAGGTGAGGCTCCACAGCCCAGGCAAACACGGCGCGCGGCTGTGCTTGCTGGCGCCACAGGCTGGCACCTTGGGCTCAGCGCCTCACAGAGAGCTCTCCCAGCGCCACCCTGAAAGCCCTGTCTGGACTGCAGGCCGCCTGTCCCCCCCGCCGAGGCCCTCGCCACCCAGGGCCCGCCCCTGCCAGCATAGCGTCCGAGGAAGAAAGAGCATCTTGTGCGAGGATGAGGGCGATGCACCCGCAGCCACGCCCACAGCTTCCCAGTCTGTGAGAACCAAACCCTGGAAAGAGCCCAGGTGCCCATCAGCTGAGGAACAGATAA